CTACTGGCTCTGGTGCTTTGAGCGAAATGAATTGTACGCCCACACACAGTATGAGAAAATGAAAATGCAACTTGGATTACTGCATTTTTGTTGTAATTGTCTTTACTTTTCTGGGCTGAACAGCAGCAGGAGAACAGGTGTGCTGACTGGGCAGCTCACACAGGTGCCTTGAGTGTTCTCTGTTCTGTGTCCTGAGCTCATTCTCTGTTTGTCCTTCAGCTGAGCTGGTTCCCTCTGTCATTTCCCCTTTGTTCCTGTAAAGTGTCCTTGAGTGCTGTGAAAGGCGCTGCCAAATAAAATGTATTATTATTATTATTTTGTTCTTGAGTGTGTTGAGTGAGTTTATATCATTATAGTTAAGTCATGTTTATTTTGTTGTTAAGTAGAACATCTAATACCAAGCCAAGGAGGTTTGGTTCTCACATGGTTATATATTTAAAGTGAGAATGTATCGATGTACTGATTTTGATTTAGAATTGTTTGTTGTTTCATTCAAGATAATAAGATTATTGACCTGTGTGTACACTTTCTTTCATTTGTAGAGCTTTAACCAGTCACACCTGACTGACAAGCAAAAGATTAAATACTTTCAAATGGAACCTGCTGACTTCATCTCCTGCTTTGCTCATATTCATAAAGTCAAGTCCAGTGTAATCCTAGAACTCATATGTGTGGAAAATGACATTGCTATCATGGAATTACATTTTCAAGTTTGCATGATCATCTTAATAAAGTCCTGTGTCAAGTGTGTCGGGTGACCTACTGTATATGTGGCTATTTTCCCAGTACAGTAGAGCTCCATTGATTTGCTTCTCCAGTCAGAGAGATTGAGTGGAAATGATACCAAGTTGAAGTTATATTATAAACTTCATATAAGTTTCTGGATTTTTGGGAAAACATCCGGGGCTGGAGACCCATAAGACACCCCTCACCCCCTGCTCCGCCTGTGAATGCAAGCAAGTAAATTATGACAAGTTTTTATAGGAAATTTGGTTTCTATGAAAAACTAGAACCATCAAGTGAAATAAATACAATAAATACCACATTACAAAATCAGGTCGGGCTAATTTTTTAATAAAATATTAGTGAATTGCATGCGTGATCATCTGCATTTTAGAGATATTGAATGTGTTAGTCAAACATATAGGCTATTTGTTTTTGCGACATGATCTTGTTACCGGAGATCTTATAAAAACATGTTACTTTTGGCTTGCACTGCATCAGTCAGCGATCACACTTCATTACTTCTGACCACAGCAGCCTCTGGAGCAATAACTGGCCACACACTTCTCACTTGTAACATTAACTTTTATAATGTTATGGACACTGAGCTCTGAAATCAAAAGCCCAAAATAGGACCTGTGCATTCGTTCTTTGTTTCTTTATCCAACATATCATACTTTCTGACATCCATACTGGTTTCCCATGTTTTTTTGGCTAATTTATAACATATTAAAATGTCAGAGGAAACGACAAATAAAATAACACTTAACTATATGAATTTAAAAAAAAAACAAGAGAATACTCTCTTGCCTTAACTTCCCAGGATGTCTAAATGTGATTTATAGTCTCTCTGGGATCCGTATCAGCTGATTCAGCCTTTTACCAAAATCCTCAAAATTTACAGCTGATACTTTTAAGCTCTTAGGTAATCCATGCAACCAAACAGCCTTCACATTATTATCAGTTTGAATGGCTCCTGCCGGGGCCTGCAGCCTTTCTTTGCTTCACACCCTCTGTGTACACCAAGTGTCATTCTAACTCCCACAGACCATCAATCATATCGAGCTCCCTTTGAGTTTTTCTAGATGAGGGAGTCCCTCACCTCAACTCACGTTTACATTCTTATCCTTCTCCATTTATTTTGTTAAACCACAGGACTTTCTACTCAAAACCAGCATTGTACAATCCGAAATTGCTTTATAATTGCAAGTTAAATAATCTCACGATTTTTCCTCTCTATAGCTGGACAGAATATCTGTTAATTTGATAATCAGTGGCAACAACTTCTATTATAAATATCAAGACGATAGATAAAAGTTGGCCTTTAGTAGTCTTGAGAAATCAGAGTTCAGATAACTTGCTGTAGATGTGGAAATTGTCTCAGTTTAATAAAATGTTCTTTTGAGGAAAAGCAGTGCTTCTTCTAGTTTGCAATCTAACCTCAAGTCTCAATAATCCCGAAGGAACCACAGGTCTACCGCAGCGAGAAGGAGAATGACTTGGAAGTGCACGCACTGATGTCAGCATTTAATATAATGATTTCAGGTCGACTTGCATTTGATTAATTTACGGGTTCATTCCCCGGTGCCCTTTTACCACCATACTCTGTGTGGTGGCAGCTTTTTAAAACACTTTGCATCATCATTGCTTGATTCTGGGCCAGTTCTGTGGTTCCTTTAGTTGCTGCTCTTGGTGATTGCCCCGCAACATGAAAACATTTAAGACTGAGTCATTAATTTTAACACAGGCAAAATGATGTCACTGTCACAGAAAGCCAAAACATGGGGCTTTCTTTTCTATCCTAACAATGCATGTAATTGTACAGCTATGCAGCAAACGCATGTCCAGCAAAGGTTGAAGATAACAGTTGACCTTTGAAGGCTTTACTGGAGACACTTTAAGATAAACAACAAATTTAAAGATGATTGCAAATAAAAAAATATTAGATACCGTGAACAATAGACAAAAGGTCATATAAAATGAATCAGGCTACAGTAACAAGGACAGGAAAGGAAAACATCCCGTTATTCTCACAGTTCACATGTTATTCCAAGATGGTTACCCCATCACAAATCGTCCAAAATTAGCTACTTCCGCTGTGTTATACATTTGAACCAGTTCTTCAGCTAGTGAAACCAGATTCAAATAAAATTTGTCTAACTCCTGATTTAATATATATGGGATTTTATTTAGATTTAACTGCCAGTGCCTTCATTTTGCGTCAGGATTGTTGACACTTCTCTAGTTCTTTTCCCTAACTAGCAAATACAAATTACTTCTAAGGAAAGACATCGCATGCGGAGATTTTCATGGCTTGAAAAGGTGGAAAAGATCTAAAACCAACCCATAAAAGTTTGCCTGTAGTGACCAATAGCGAGGCCAAGCAGACTGCCACCGAGGCATCAGATATAAAAGGCGAAGGGGTAAAAAATCCTCCTGACAGAAGACCACAGGGGAGCTTTGTTTGGCTGTTCACGCACTGTACATTTACATAACCTGCCTACATCCGGATATGGTTCATTACCAGGGATGAACGGAAGTATGTGGACCTCTGCACTGACATTTCTGGTCCACAAAACCCAGACTTTAGTCCAGCAAACCTGGAGTGTATGCAGGAGTTCACTGATCCGTTGACACCTCTTTTCTTTTTTTTTTTTTTACAAAGCCTGACAATAACCTTTTCACTCTGTGGTGTTGATGAGACTGTTGTTACCGTACCTACGCTGCCCTTTTCTCTTCCATTGAAAAACAGCTGTTTTTTTGTTAAGTGTATTAAATCAGTTGACATCACTGAATTAGTGTACGCTTTGTAATAATGGATACAGTTACAACAAAGCTTCTGGAAGTTGATGTCAGAAAAACTAGGCGTGCCTGAGCAAGTCTCCGCACATTTGATTATAATTCAACTGCAAAGCCTGTCAAAAAACTGGTTTGCCAATGACAGAAGATTATATTGTGAGCTGTTAAAGGTCACTCCATCAGTCTTGATACTCCTTGTTTTCTCTGTCGTCTGCTGGCTCTGGTGTTAAACTCTGCTCACCACAGGAGATTCTTCCACCGTCTCGCTGACTTTTCTACTTAACTGAAGTTCAATGATCTCAGATATCAAATAGTAATGGTTTGTGCTTGTTCAAATCTCTTTGCACAATTGTGTGATTACATGTGAATGAGCAAGGGCTAAAGACATGTTCTGTTTTTACTTTTGCTTCCTTTCCCTTTGTCTCCTCAATAATTTTATTCATTTCCACGTGAGCAGGTGGTCTCTTTAGGGGATTCATGCGCCCTGACTGTTCATACTGCAGGTACTGTATTCTCTTATATCTGATTTGGTCGGGGTCCAACGCCATCCGTCTGCATGCAGCTCGGGCCCCCACCTCCCAGTGGGAGTCTCATCGGCTCAGCAGCCCTCAGCTCTTCCTCAGTGAACAGGAAAGGATCCATTTTCAGCGGAGCTACGTAGATGTGGATGTAAGGAGCTGGTGGTGGTGTGTGTGTGTGTGCATGTGTGTGTGCGTGTGTGCATACGTGCGTACTGTATGTCGAGATGACAGGAATGTCCACTGGAGACAAAACTTCCCCGGAGTTTGGAAGTGGTTCTCAGTACCTCCTGTCCTGACAACCAACAAAAGGACAAAGCTTAAGACCCACATAGGTGTTTGCCAGCTTGTGCAGACCCACTTCACCCTCCGCTGCCTCGGACTCTCTATAGAACACATTCCAGCGAGGGTGTCGGGTCAGTGCAGGCGCTGAAGGACACACAGCGGTTCGCGGGCTGCGGTAATTTGTTTAACCTTTGATTAGGCCCAGGAATGTCAACTATGAAGAGACACTACAGGTCCCGACAGCATCCTTTGACACTTTGGCAATCTGTCATTGCCACTAGCAAGCAAGCGAAGCCAGTCACCACTCCAGACAATAGTCACTGCACCGACCGGGCAAGAGAGGGAGTTCTAATCTTTGCACCATCTGGTTTGGTCCTGAAAAAGACGGAAGAGAGAGCACGTCTGTTTATCTACGTGATTTATCTCATGTCTTTCTGTGCCAATAAGCTTGCTTTGTGCGACACACAGTACAGTATAGCATCTGTGCAGGAAGATTTAAAGTGATGTTGAAGATATTATCATGAAAGGACTTTCTTTTCTTCTTCTTTTTTTTTTTTTTTTTAAAGCTATAGTATGTCTGCTTAAAGAAAGATGTAACAAACTTTGGAGCCCTGACTTTAAACCCACGTCTATCATCGCATCAATTTGGCTCAAAGAGTGAAGCCTTAACGCAGATTGAAAACATTAGTGCATCACATGCTCTTTTATTTAATCTAGCAACACAACACTGACCACATGTTACAAAAAGATGTTTAAATAAATCTGCAAATCTAGATTTGAATGAGGTAAAAGCAGAGTTATCAAAGGCACATTTCTCCAGGGTTATTATCTTAACTCCTATGTTTTATGCTCAACTTCAAAAACACCATTGTACTTCTGGCAGAGTATAAACAGAAAAAAAAGAATAGCTTTCCTCAGGAAAGCTGATTTACGTACACACGTTAAATTATACAATTTTAGTATGCTAATAAACATGTCAATTGTAGTTATACAAGTTCCAGATACACTTTATCTTCTCGCCACATGTACCTTTAGTAAATACTCCACAGTAGATTCTGTTGTTATAAGCTGGAAGTTATGAAATATGTGTTCACATGGATCACTTGGTGGAATCATTAATTTCATGCTTCATATCCAACTCCAGCTCCTTTTTTTTTTTTTCTTCTAACTTGCATTGATGAGAAACAGAACCTGGCTGGAGTGTGATACCGTGTAATGTAATAATATGTGTGTGAAAAATATTTTGGATGTAACTTGTCTTAATGATCTGCTGTTTGTCTGAAGGTCAGAGGTTAGGATATGAGGAAACTGAAAGGACCAGGGGGGGGGTTTATAAAGTCCTCTGCAGTTAAGAAATGAGATGCAGTTAAAAACTCCAACCTCATCCTCTGTGAGTGTCTGTGTGAGTGACAACAGCTTAATATAAGCATTTACATCTTAGTGATTAAAGAAGGGTCACGACGTGGTGCATCATCATTACACTCAGGAATATACTGCATATCTGTGTATTTCTGACAACACGCATCACTTGTTTATGCAAAGGTGCATTTTCTTACCCCCCATACGCACACAGCTGTAATTGTAACGCATAACTAATTAAATTCCACTGAAATAATGTCCTTGTTTTTCCTGTTCCGCAGAGGTAAGGTGATCACTCACAGTCTGAACCTTGGCAGGTATTAGATGTTTCTCAGCCAATAATAAAGGCAAAAGGATCCGGGTCCAGAATCTAATCCAATAATAACCTCACATCTTGAACTCTAAAAATAATCACACTCTGTCAAGACAGCAAGCGTGTAACTGCCAGCAAACACTGCAAGTGACCCTCGTAACTATTACCGACTGCACGTCATCACTTGACTTCAAGGTCACTTTAAAAACTGAACGTGCGTTTGATACATGATGCAGATAGAAATTCAGTATACACTGTACAGTACAAAAGACACTTATCTCACTTTGGATATTGTATACAGTTGGAATAACGAAAATAGTACTAAAAACACAAAATATAATACAGTTGCAATATTTATGAGCCGTATTCTGTGGGCAACATTTTAATACAAAAAAAAAAAGAAGAAGCCATATCTCTAATTTGTCTTCTTAAAGCGTTCCAGATATGTTCTGTCCTGCAGGTTAAGAGTCACTGCTGCTCTGTGATAGCTGCTTTGCATTCAGAAGAGTTCAAGCCCTCCATATTATTACAACACAGGTCCCCAGGAACATGGAAGAATTGTGGTTTGACATCATGCTTCACCCTATATGGTGCTCAAAATGTGCACAAATCCCAGGTGTGAGAAAACACACCTGAACACATTTGTCCTTAAAAAAAAGTGTGAATCTTGTTTTGGAACAGAAATCAGTTCAGGTGAACCGCATCTTCCTCCCCACAGCTGCTTTTCAGTTCAATGAGGGGAAAGGTTATGAAGCAACAGTAGCGCAGCAGTATCAGCTGCTCTGGGGAAGGACCAGGTTGAATAAAAGATTTACTGGATGACTCCCAACGGCCGGCGAAATGAGATGAGACAAGAGGTTAAAATAGGAAGCGTCCCTCTAATGTGCTACGTAGCCGTTCAGAAGTTGAAGGTTCACGAGTTCAAAAGACTAAGAGAAGTCCAGTGGGCGGATCATCATGGCCGTGGCTCGTAGAGAGTAGCTGGGGCCCTTGAAGTAGTGCCACTTGATACCGTTCAACTTCCCTATGTGTTGTCCTTGGGTGAAGTACATACCGTTAAGGTTGGACGGGCCACAGGCGTCAAACCACCAACCTGAAGACAGAACAAGGACGAGGAAAAACACAATGTTATGTTCTGTATATGTTCAATACAGATTAAGGTGATACTGTCTGATTAAACAATGGAGCAAGTCTGTTGTATGTCACCAAAGAAAATAAATAAAGCATTGAGTTAGTATCTCTGTTTTGCCAAGGTATTGATAAAGTCACCTCATTCATAAAGTTTGTCCTTGATAAAGGTTGAAAGTTTCCCATGGCCTCTCCCACTGGTCCATGGCAATGCTTCAGACACCATTTCACTGCTATCTGCTCAATGTGTTACTGTCACCGGGTTCATCGGCATGCCAGTACCTGTTGCCGAACACGTTTTGTACCTCGTTCTATTTAAAGCAGGTTATGTGTATTGGCTCCAGTGGAACATCAGAGAAGTAGATGGCATGGGAAACTTTTATTCTCCTCCCATTTCATGATTTCCCTGAAGGGTTAGCTGTTATTTGGAGAAAGGGTGAGTGTGCTTGGATTCAGGGGACAGGTCTTTTTTTCTTTCTCTTTTTTAACATAATTTAAGCCACACGTTGGCTTCCTGTCTCTTTTAGAATTGATTTTAAAATGTCACAGCTTAACGTTTACAAGAATCTGAATGGTTTAGCACCTTCATGCTTAGACAACGGTCTCCCCCTCTTCTATCCGAGAGGCAGCAATTATATTTCAAATGACACAAACACATTTACTGAATATAAAATCTATTCAATCCAACTAATCTGCTCTGGTAAACACACCCTCACTGATACAGTCAGATATAGAACATATGCGAGGCATGGCATGTGTCAGTCACACAGTGACAAATGGCAGCACTTCTCCTCACCCCTCCGACAGACCTGAATACCACAGTGGACTACAGTATGACATTTCACTAGACCTGTCAGCAATCATCAGGGGCAATGCTCTGCCCTTGCTGCTGGCATGGATCACACACATATAAATTTCACATTTGATTGCTGCTTCATCAAAAGACACATACGCAGTATAGCAGAGAAACTGCTGGACACCTCTTTACATTTCCACGACTGCATATAATGTCAGAATGTTGGCGCCAGTGGGAACTGAATATGAAATTGCACTTGCTCCGCTTTAATTTTTTGACATGAAATTCAATGAGGAATGGCCCTGAGGCTGGAGAGCTCTTTCAGAAGAGACGCTGCACCTGACCAAAGGTTAAAGCAGCTATAGACAATATGTCTAATTAGCAATGGAATGAAGGATTGTGGGTAATATGAATGGGTTGCTCAAAGTGACGAACCTCAAGGGAAATTATTACCCAACTGTGCAGTGTACCTCAGCTCTAAGGCCTGTTTTAGCATATTTTAGTGTATTGTTTTGGTTTCAGAGCCCACAGCTTCATTGTTTTGCTTCACGCACGCTGCTTTCATCAATTTCCAGCCACAACAGGCAGTTGTTTTCATTAAGTAAATTCCAAATGACAGACAAAGTTAGCATTTAGTAGCGAAAGATATTTCCCTCAGGCAACCTCCAAGGCTGAAAAATGAAGCCAACACGGAAGTGCCAAAAACTGCAGTTCCTCCAATGACCACTTGAGACTGTCTCCAAAAGGCGGAGTCACTGCCAAGATGGCAATGGCAAGGCAGCTCACTCTGAGCTTCAAAACTGCTCTTCAGAAACCTGTGGGCGACGTCACGGAGGCTACATCCATCTTTATTTACAGTCTATGAGAGCAAGGCAGAGCTATCTGCTCAATGTGTAAATAACCAAAAAGTTTACCATGTCAACTTTAAAGATAATCTTATGTCAATGCTGTGTATGTAGCTTATTGCTGCTATGTCCCTGTGGCCAAAAATAACCATTAAAGCAGCTTTAAACAGAAAATTTGAATGTCAGTGAGCCACTTAATTCCCAAAGAGGCTGCGGTTCACACTACATAGCCGGGAAATAGTTTACAGCACTAATCATAATTGTAATGAAAAGACAGTTGACAGTGCAAATAGAAAAGCTGGTAGGAGTATTGTTGATACTCCGATGGGAGCACATGACCTTTGCTTTAAAAGTGTCTGGAATTGAGACTTGAGACAGTGTGCTCTTCTTGTTGATAGCATTTCACAAAGTGTGTGTTGTGCAACCTGCAAGCTGCTGTTTCATTTTATTATACTGAGACATACAGCTGAATACAGCTTATGCGTTCTACTTGCCACCTCTTCCTTGTTGATAAACCACAGAGCAGACAACCGCCGTCACACACATAAATATTTAGTGTGCACAGCAGCAATCGTTTGGGATTTATGATCAGTGTCCTCTCTATTTCCAGGCAAGAGATTTTTAATGACTTGTAAAAACAGTGGGGACGGTTTCTACCAAAAAAAGAAAAAAAAGAAGAAAAACAGATAAAGGGATCCCCCCCTACCTCCTACTGTGTTTCATCCCTACTGTATGTTCTGGTGCCTGGTAAATATATACATTATGTGTGTGTCCGCTTTATATCCTCCTCCGTATTCTTAACACGGCATGCTGTGGTTGTCCTCATAAATGTAGCAGAGAAGTATTTTCCTCTTGTATATTCCAGACACTTACGTCATTTAATGTCAGCCCTGCTCTTGTAAATGCGGGAAATAAATCAGATGATGTACTGTATATATTATAGCTAGCACAGCCCTGGGTTCGGACCAGCCTCGACTCAGGCTACATGTTGTCATGCTTCTCCTATGTGTATGGCCATAGGCAGGCTATGAATCAAGAAGAGCAGGGGTGTTGATCAGTGATCAGATGCCAGTTCCCTTTAACCCGCTGCAGTCAAAATGACCTAAGAGGTAATGCTGATCTTAAATCTGCTCTTGGAAATGCTTGATTAGTACCAGGTCAGGACTCCGCAGCAACAGAGCTGCCATGAGGTGACAGCGAGGGTCGCTGGGTTTCACTTACACAGCAGGAGAAGCAGAGTCATTTTAAATCTCTCTGACACTTGGTGCCGCGCCCAGGGATTTTTATATTATGTTCGTTTCAAACCACAATGCAACTGGGGATGGGGATGCAGAGTATGGTCTAATAGCTGCAGATAGATGTATAAGTGGCCACTTAAGACCATTGCAAGAGCAGATTATGATCATAACGAGCTGAACTAATGATTGGGCCGTGAACACTGTGGTCTGTGTTGGTCATAAAAGTCAATCAGAGAAAACTGCTTTTGGGAAGGCAGCTGGAATGGTTATACCACAGCTCTGAAATTGTATTGTGTCCATGGTGATATGGAAACAATTGTTTGGACCTTTTTTCGTAATTTTTATAATAACATTGTACATAACAAATAAATTGCTGGGATATGGGTATGTGACAACATTGCTAAAAAAAGAAGTCAGATAGGGCAAGAAACACAAAGACGACTGTACAAGACCAGGTTAGCCAAACTTACTGCGAGAAAAAACAAAAGGTGAAACTGTGAAGTGGCCAGCTACACTACAGGGGAAAGTTGACAAAGGCTAAACTTAATCGTCTGATGCAGATCAAACGACAGCCAATAACTGTCATCTTGATTCCAGCAGAAACAGAAACCCAGTTGTTTACTGCTACACTCCACTTAGCGAAGGAACTGTAAACACAATGGAGGAAAAGCTGGTCGTCGTTGGCCTCTGGCTTCACAGTTCTCCATGACATGTTTTTTTAATGCGCAGCAACAAATTGCTGCCATTGTCGCTGTGTCTGGTGGTGGCACATGTGTCAGAAAACAACAGTCTGGAAATACGCAATCTGAGTAATTGCATTGGTGATTACAGCGTTATTATTAGCCGAAGAACAAAATCAAGACCCAAGTTGTAATAATTATCCATAAACCAGGAGGTAATGGTAATATAGGTCCTCTGATTTGCCATGAATGTAAGATTATCCTCGCTGCAACACACTGTTTGCTGCACTTACCCCCTGTAAGCATGAGGGCGCACTTGCACAGGCAGTTGTCATTGTCCATGTCCTTGGCGCTGAAGTCTGCTCCGTGGATTACTAGACTGCTCTGTCTGCCGGCGGTCCCACTGTGGCTTTTCAGGAACAGCCTGAAAGACATCAGGAGGAGGAAGAGGAGGGAGTCAGGACATGAAAACACATCAGGGAAGGGAGGAAAAGGGGGGAGGGGAGTAAGTGTGGTGTGAGCAATGTAAGCAATAAAGACAGCAAGAAGACATAACACGCTGCAAGAAATGTCTCCAGAGAGGTATTTATTTTTTGTTGTGATTGAGTACGTATAGAACACCTGGAACAACATTACCCTGGTAGATGAAAAATAAAGAGTGAATGAAAGAGAAAGCACATGAAAGAGTTACAAATGGAAAGAGAGGGAGACAGAGGGACAGAGGAAGGAGCATGTCGTACGAGGAATTTTCTGTGAATCACATTTCCGTGTGCAGGGCCACAGAATGTTAATTTACACCACGACAACAGACTAAATCATTAAAACCCGACTTATAACAGTTACACACAATAGGCAGCCTGTTAAACCAATCATCCATCCGCAGCTGTATAGGTAGCACATTCTCTCAGTGGGTCTTCGGTATCCAAGTGAGCAATATTTCTCCTTGTCGTCTCTTCGTGTGTTTAAGTAAACAAACCCTAATGCTCTTCCTCTTTTCATGATGTTACATTTCCTCCATGAAAGCATATGCAATACTCTATTTTTCTGCTGCCACAACAGTAATATTTTATGTCAGACCCAGTCTAAAGGATTTTATATTTAAAAAGCATGAGTGCATACAGTGCAGAATCTACAGTATGTGAGTCCTTTGACCAAAACTGAACATCTTAAATCTATAACTGCAATTCCTTAATATTTACTGCATATTAGTTTATGCCAGCGTGTCCTCTAGAATAAAATGGGGCCCATTGATTTTTGTCTCTTTGACTTTTACAAAAGATGGGATTCTGTAATTGCTTATATCGAGTCTTGTACCTCCCTGAATTTAACTTAATTCTAATATTAGTCAAATAATCCACCTATTTTCATGGCCTACAATTTCACTGAGTGACAAGCAATCGTTATTAAACTCAATTTATTACTTTTTAAAATTGATTAATTTATTTTACATATCTATTCTTTCTTATTTAGTAAATCCCTGACTATCACTGAGATGCAGGGTTCAATGTGATCGTTCAGCCAGTAACTGAATGTGTGGGTCCAATGGTTCTGTTGTTTTGCATCAGTAGGTAAAAAAATAAAAAAAATAAGAGAAACATAAGGGATTTGTATTATGGACTGCTCTATCATTGAATAATGTCTCCAATAAAAAATAAAATACATGTTCAAAACCATACAATGGCCTCATGTTGAGCACTTTTCTATTAGTTTATAAACAAATTGGCACATCATCTAGCAAACTGACACATAGAAACGTTAAGTTTGTGGTAAGATGTGTATGAATGTAAAATGTATGTCAGAGATGAAACGTGGTATAGTGGATGGAGTCATACAGGAGTGAAGGGACTGATTCTATCATCATGCTATAAAGTCAGCAGCTGCTGAGAATCATCATTCGATAATTATCCATCTGATGTAAATGTCAGTGAGATCTTTTCGTTCCATAGATTATTAAAAGACACGCCATGTCTACACGGCTGATAATGACGAGTCAATCCCGAACTGAATTCCTTCACACGTTCAGTGCTCAACACCCAAATTGAAAGTTAATATGAACTGGGAAGAAGATTTCTCCAGGGTGTGTCCCACTGTGAACTCACTCCTGTCACAGCCCTTTGACAGCTCTAGCACATGGTCCCTTACGCTGCCGTATCACACATCCACTTTCTTTCCCTTCTTTCTTTTTTTCTTTGCTTCTCTCACACTCTCTCAGTTTCGCTTTCTCCCAATAGAAGAGATTGCACATCCAAAAAGCAGGACTGCAGCACCCTGCCAACGAGGTCTCTATTATTATGTACGGTTCACTCTCAGACAAACTAATATCCTGAGTTCATTCCTCAACAACAGGGGACCATGGGTGTGTAGTGAACCTTGCACCCGGTTCGGGTTTTCCGATGAGAAAGTAACAAATACAAAAACAATATTTGATGTGTTCAGGAGATGTCGTAGACTCCGCCTGCAGCTCCAGCCTCCACGCTTTGTGAAGCTTGTGGCCGTGAGGCATCAGGTTGAACATCTCAAAGAAAGAGACAGCAGACTCCCCAGGAGAGAGAGAGTTGTTGAACGTGAAAGACTCCTGTATTTGGACAGCTGTGTAAATGGCTGAGTAAAAAGTGTGACTGCAGGGTTTTCGGTGGGGAATTCACTAAATCCACTAAACCAGTATGTATGAGTCATGCGTCTAATCAGTGGCACCAAATGACCAGTGGACATGGCAAGTTTGGATAAGGGCCTGTGAGTATATCGTAAGCACTGTGTGTGTGTGTGTGTGTGTGTGTGTGTGTGTGTGTGTGTGTGTGTGTGTGTGTGTGTGCGTGCGTGTGTGCGTGCGTGCGTGTGTAATTGTATAAATGTGCTGTGTGTGTCCTGTGAACAGTATGTCATCTATGACACACGCTGAGGTATTATTCGGTGTCTACTAGTCAACAGTTGTCTTTTGAGAAATCTTGCAGTTTAAAAGAAAACTCATAATTCCAAGACACTGCCTGACTTACTGGTAGCATGACGTCTATCAGCTAATTCCCAAATTCTGAGGACTAGAACATGCATTGTCAAAGATGAGGTCTGCTACTGCTCTGATAAAGACCAGACCTTACTGTACATTTACTCTCCATTTTCCAAAGCTCTTACGATCACTGTTGCGCTGACAAGCTGCCAAGGCCCGTCATCAAGAGAGATTTTCAGCATGACACTTATGACAGGCTGCTTTAAATAGCCTGTGGCTGTGTTTACGGCCTGCGCTGCCTATTTACCAGACCTACAATCCCCAACCCAACTGACATCTGCAGTTTTTCCTGTCAGGGTCCATTATGCACTCGAATGATAAGTGGGGTAATCCAAAGATGGGCCAAGTAATGAGCTCAAGAGGAAGAGATGCTCTTCCTGAGGACTGTTTCTAAGAATGAGAAAGAAAAAGACAGAGAGACACAGAGCTTGACAGAGAGAAGGCGTCTTGAAATTTATGTTAATGAAATGTATCAGGGGACAGACATCTGCTCAGACGGAAGAACAGACAGGAACTTAACATGCAATGCATGCTAATCTGATTGTTCCTGTTAAAGTCATTTAGTGATGCGATTGGTCAAGGCTCATTAGTAACCAAAATATTGAGCTGTGTGGGGAATAATTAGGTTTTACTCAATGCCTCTCGGGGAGGGAGGTTGGTGCCATGCCATCTCATTCCTTTAACATCTATCTGACATGTTTGTGATCTTTTAACGTATTTATGCATGTCATCATTAAAGGGTCACCTCACACAACACATATTTTTCCTTTTATGGCATTTTGCCATGCATATACCTGCAGATCTTGCTTATATTTCCCAGGTTTTTGAGCTGAGTCTTCTGCTCATCACAGATAGCACTCCAGTCAACGTTTAAGTTTACAGGACTAGCTAGTAAAACTAGTTCGCTAATAACTTTAGCTTTGTATAATGTAGGACAAACACCGACCATCAGTGTGCAGGGGCGTTACAGTGACACTCAATAAATGTTGACATAATGTAAGCAAAAAGTAATGCCTCATAAGACTTGGTTCTAATTTTAGCAAGCTAGGCTAAATAGCTTCCACTTTCTGAGTAAAAGCCGATTAGTCGAGCTTGCTAGCGTCCACTTTCTGACTGGAATACAAAATTAATGGGTCCCCCTAAAAGTTGAATGTTGTAGAATCATTATTGGTTGGTATAAATGGAGAAATAAACATCTAGTATCAGCAGTCATAGGCTATAGCATAATAAGATATGACACTATTTCTACAAATATATACAAAAAAAAAACCCCAAAAAAGTGAAACAATAGCTGTAGTATCATTGTAGTTTATATTTCCTTACACAAAAGTGAAATTCAAATCTTAGATCCACATTAACAGTATTTTTTTCAAAAATACAATGTCCATGTCACATAAGTTAACTGACAGAACTCTCATCTGGATAAAATTGTTTCCAGTGTAAACAGGTCACAGGACACTTATCATATGTAACTTGGACACTGCTTCTACAAAGAGTGATTAACCAATGTGTCAGGCACCATGAATGACATTCAACTCACCCTTGCTGTGTTGTGGTGGCTGCAAATGCCTCCAGTACAAAACCATGGCATATAAAACTTAAACTATTTGCATGACTAAATACCACTAGGGGTAAGTGGGAAAATATTTTTTTGTTATTTGGGTGAACCGACGCCTTAAAGCTTTGATACAGATTCAGTTACAGTCATAATGAGTCTATGCTCCGGAGCATTACAGCTGCTGTGTACGTGGGAAATGAATTGTAGCAGGATTAGGTGAGGAATCAGATGACTGGGATATGTTTATCTGAGACCATTTCCAAGTTACAGTGGCATTTTATCACAGAATCTTAAAAATATTGTTATCAAACATCATTAAAATATTTAACACTTATCTACACTTACACTTACCAGAGCAATGGATCCTTTCCAGTTAAAGGGTTAGGGTTAAATCTTCATTCCATTGATTCGTTTTTTTAAAAATGTTATAGTTTGCACATAAAACATGGGCACAGCATTACACGAAAGCACCATAAAAAGGCTAGCAAACACAAATCAGCCTTAGCATTTGTAAAAATACACCTGCACTCAAGTTACCTTAATATGATGAGAGAAATAAAAAAAAAAGTCTTTTCCTAACCACTTTTCCACTTGCCGTCGAAAGACAACGTCAAGGAAAGATGTGAAGGAGAATTCATAAGGACTTAGGAAAAGACAACTGCAGTGCTGAGAGAATCTGCCTGCACTTACACTAGGCTATGTAATTATGCAGATGTTATTGACCTGGAATGGTAATTTGCTTTAGATGTTGCTACTGCAAGGAATTGTTTGACAGCATTATCTCCCTTCATTTTGTAAAGAATGTTCCAGTGTACCCTCGGAAATAAGAAAGGAAGCATCAAAGCACCTTTCCTTACAATTT